AGATGAATCAAAAATCGGCGGGAACTTTTCGGACAACCCAATAATTGTGTAATACTTTCTACGTTATCGCCAGGGCCTCTATAAATATCCAGTACCCACAAATTTCTGGTGCATCGGCTAAAATCAATCATATATCATAAGCGACCCCTGCATATTTTTGAACATCGGCCAAAAAATTAAAAACAACACATTCTGAACAGAAACATAAGTATCCATGAGTCACCAGCACATTTCTAGTGCATCGGTTGAAATTAGTCATATATCATAAGAGACCCCTACACACTTCCATGACGCTTTCGAATGCTTTCCCCATCTCTATTTCAGATCCGTTTTTCGTTATCCTGCTCCTTGAAGAAGTTCTGTAACTTTTGAATTACTAAATAGATTCGAACGAAGTTCTATAATTCTCGGATTTTCAAACAGAGTCGAACGTGGTTCTACATCCGAATCACTGATTCTGGTAAAACAAAGCAATCACTTAGCACAACGCCCCTCCAATTTCATAGAACACCGATCATCTCTAGCGCAACGACGCTTAAGAAATTTATCGTGTGCTATAGAGAATGTACAACCAAAGTAGATTATCCCGCAGTAGACGAAGATACCTACGAACAATAGCGCTACTGGAAAGCGGCATACGACAAATAACTGGAGATCAGAGAGGAGTACGAAACTAGTAAAAATAAGGCAGATAGGAATGAAGCAATATCGAAATAGAGCAAATACAAGAAGACTCAAATCTTCACTCAGTATTGGCCAATGCCGACGAGCTTGACTTCATGCTGGCTGCGCGCCTTGACGAAGCAAAGTGCGCAAGAGGCAGAACAGAGGCGAAATTACGGGATATACTACGCAAAAAGCCCAAAAGCTACAAGATCAGACATTAGAAGGAAAAGACACCGCTCGAAAATCAACCCGGACGAGGGTTCTGAGCAAGGCCCAAGCATTCATAATAGGACTCCTAAGCAGATAACGCAGGAGAGTCGCAGTCTATTGAGCGCATAGACCCGTATAGAGGTTGTCGCTTAGTCAGACCACTTCAATCGTCCGCCGAAGGGACGCGGAACCTGAGCAGTCTTGAAACTCTAGTTCATAACGGTGACGAGCTTGACGTAATGGAAAAATTTTGCTTCTGAGGGAAAGTTTGGTTGGGAAAGCTCAAAACTTTATAAAGAGAATAAGACTAAGGCCAGACAATTATAACTGGCTGGTTTAAAATTCCTAGAGTGACCATAGTAACCTGTCCCTGAATAGAGCCCAAATAGTGTAAAAGTTGGTAAATTTGAAGTCGGCCGGGAACTTTGTGGAAGTTGCTTCACAACTTTTGACTACTATATTATACAAGTTTTTGTCCATCAAATGATAGGATACGACGTGAGAAGCACCTTCGATCCAATACGATGCGGCACCATTTTGTCGAGATTTCTACGGGATGTCGTAAAGCCTGTTCTGATACAAGGACAATCTCAAAATAGTCTCGGTACGAAAACTTGATAGCTCAATTAACCCACTGGCGACCGCGCCTTTCGAGTGTGTCTGGCGTGTGGGACCGAGCGCTGTCTTCGCGGGCTGCAGCTGTGGCCCACCGGCGGGCCACATGGTCCCAGGAGGAAATTAATCTTTTAAATACCTCACTTTTGAGATAAAGTTCTATCAAAATGTCACAGAAGAAGTGATAAACGCAACGATAGGTCATCCGCAACGTCAGGCACAAAACGACGTGCTACGTTGTGGATGACCTATCACTTCTTGGGTGGGATTTCGATGGATTTCTAACTCAAAGAATAGGTGCGTAAAACAGCGTCCACCGTTACTTTGTTAGGCTCTAATTGTTAGAAAATAGGGAATTGCTCAATTTTTCTCTGATTCTTTACTGCTTGTGTGGTCCAGACCCAACAAAATACGACAAAGCTTGATTAATACACACAAAGAATTTTGTCCTCAAGTCTTTGATGGATCGGTTAGAGGTAGATAGCATTGTTAAGTTATACCTTGTAGAACCCTTAGTCAGAGTGTTTTTGGTGAGCCTCCCTCTCCACAAAGAATTTACAATTAGGATTGAAGGTCCGAAAGGGAGATAGAAGATGCAATGGTTGCTGCATGGAATATCCGAGGAAAAATATTGTGCTTATGAATCAGGCCAAATGGGTCTCATCAAAATGCATCAGGTGCCCCAAGAATTTTACTTCGAGTTTTTTTTCAAACTATTACACGAGGTACAAGTAACTGACCAGTTGGTAACGCTTGCTCATTTCAATAAGTTCCTTACATTAACTGTTGCCTTCAGTTAAAACTACAGTCAGAAATGAGTGATTCTTGGACCACAACACCTCAAGAATCTCTAGAGGGCTGTGAGTTTAACTGATACTTGAAAGCGTCGAAATATAAAAACGAACAATAAATGTTGTAAATACTACCTCCACACGGTCCCAGGAGCACGATATGGTGTGGACTGCCGGCGGGCCACGCAGTCGTTAATGGGTTAAAGGCACAGTTCGCAATAAGAATGGTTTCTGAGTTCTCCCCTAGGAATACCCAGTGGCCCCCCAAGGGTATCAGGAAAGACGCTGTCGAGTCCCAAAACTCAACAGCTAGGACATTGTGGGAGCCCCGTTCCCGGATTGCCCGGACTTCCCGCCCCGGTGTCACGCCAAGCGAGTGTCGAGGCATCCGAAGCCTGGTATAAAGGACAACGTATCCTTGCAGCGGTTCTTCTTCATCACGCAAAATTTGGTTTCTTTCCTGACGCGCCGTCTGACGTTCCACCAGTTGTGAAATGATTATTTCTCAGAGCGGTGCTCCCCAATACAGAGAGCTACTCGATGCTCAGTACATCGACTACTCAGACAAGTTTCTGATGCGGAGCGCCAACAGTTCACTGATTTTTTTTATGAATTCATAGCTGGAATTTCTACCGGATTATACGACTTGGGGTCTTACGAAGACTCGGAAAGTCATCCAAACAACTACGGATACTCCTCCAACATGGTTTCGCCCGCCTCGTATTCCTGTCAAGTTCCAAATGGAGCTTGACGACTACATTAATAAACTGCTTCAAGCACGACGTATCGTCGAGAGTGACACTCCTGGGTCCATGATAGTGCCCTCGTGAGGAAGAGAGATGGGTCTTTAAGGGTCGGCCCCAATTTTCGACCACTCAACAGCATCACAATTTCAGACGACTACCTTTACCCATCGGATCGACTACATTTGAGTCAAGTTACTGGCCGTAAGTTCTACACTACATTCTATTTGGCTTCCGAATTGCAGCCTCTTTTAACTCCCGAAAGTCAAGCAAAATGCAGATGGGCTACTTACCGCGGCATTTACCACTTTGTTTATTCACCCTTCAAATTAGAGAACGCATGTGCCTATTTCTCTCGAGCGATGGCCCGCACCTTTGCCGGTTTCCAAGAGAATTGCTCGGTCTACCTATACGACGTTCTAATTTTCGATAAGAACTTCCCAAGTCATTTAGAATCCCTTCGTAGAGTCTTCTACGGACTTCATTTTTACAACATCAAAGCCTCCAGCACAAAGCTCACTGAGTTTGCTTGTTCGCGCATCATTACTCTGTCATGAGATAGCAGGCAATTTTTCCAGCTTAACGCAATATCAATGGGATTCGTGACTTCCGTAAGCCTATTACAATCATGGCCGTGAAAGGATTCGTAGGCACGGCTGGCTTTTTCCTTAAGTTCATTCCAAACCTTGCACATATAGCAGCACCGCTTTATGTACTAGATAAGGATTAATTAAGTAATCAGGGTTAAGTTCGTTCGAGGAGTTGAACAAGAAGAAGCCTTCCAGCGGCTGAAGCATTTGCTCATCTCGAAACCATGTTTATCCTTCCCTCGAGATGAAGAAATTTACTTGCTTACAGGTGTAGGGGGTGAAGCGATTGATTCAGGTGATGGACTGCTGCGATCACGAAGCAGTGATGGAATGAAGGATAAGGAGGAGACGAAGTAATCAATAATAACAGTAATATATAAACCCCCTTGCGATTGGCAATAAACAGTTCTACATCAGTTCGTCTACCTCACAAGTGGCGATCAGTCAAGGAGTCCGACTGGCAAGAAGAAGAAGAAGACCGATCGGATCAAGACTACGACGTCAAACACGAGAAGATGGCGGCCCAGGACGGTACATCCTCCACCAAGGCGGCGGTAGTGGCAGACCCGGGGACCTTAATAGAGGTTTACCAGGGCCGTGCCCCTGGCGCATATGTGCCGGGCACGCCGTGGCGCACTTGGTGAAGGCTTTTCAATAATTTTCTCACACTAAGAAAAGTGAGTGATGAAATGGAACAGAGGTTAATATTTTTACAGGAGATTGGAGGCAGCAACTATGAGCTGCTGGAATTGCTGCTGCAAGGAAAAGAACAGGAACAAGTCCTGCTGAAGGAGTTGAGCGATACCATGGCTAGTCATTTTCAATCCAAGAAATTGATATTGGCCGAACGCTAAGGTTGTGAGTTCGAAAAAATGAAAGATTATAGGGATGCGATGGTCACCATGGTTTTCATAGGAGGGTTCACCTCAGTTGAAACCAGGAAACGGCTTCTAGAACGGGAGGACCTAACCTCAAAGGAGGCCTTGGAGGCTGCAGAGGCTTTTGAAAGGGTTGGAAAGAACGCGCCTTATTTGAAGGAAGGTCTCCAGAGGTAGGTATCTCCGTGGTTCGGGCTAAGAAAGAGAAATTGCCGCCGATGCCGAAGCAAAGTCTACCGTCCTCTAGGGCTAGGCCATACTCATTCAGAAATCGCGATAAGGAACAAGCCCCAAGAAAGGTCAGAGGAAGGAACAACCGCTCGCCCGTAGTCGTGCAATGTACATGTTGTGGAGGTCAGGGGCATGCCGCTCTTCAGTGTTTCAAACGGCAAACATCACATTGCACGGTTTGCTCCCGACCTGGACACATGGCTAGAGCATGTAGAACAAGAATGCCAAATACAAAGAAAGTCTTCCGCCCGATCAACTGGTGTGCGGAGCCCAGCATCTCCGACCTTGATGAGGTAGAAAGTAGTGGGAATAATATTGATAGGTTAACGCATAAAGTGCGTCAAGGTCGTAGAGAAGAGCTGGATAAGTTGAGTCGCCCGGCCGAAGTCAGGAAAACGGCTCAAGATCGGTTGGTAAGACAATCCATAGAGCTGCAACGACCGGGAGATAAACCGCCGTGCCGCAAAGTAAAAGTAGAGCCGGCTGCAATGTTGAAGATAAGAATCCAAGGTACGGACGTAACGTGTGAATTGGATACTGGAGCTTCTGTTTCGACACTGGATTTGGCGTCATGGAGACGGATAGGGGAGCCTCCACTGTCGGAAGCAACCATTGAGGCTACGGCCTACAATAATAGTCCCATTCATTTTAGTGGCAAATGTACAGTTTTAGTTGAATTCAAAGGCAAACAGGCCAAAATGGACCTACATGTGCTAGAAGGGGCTACCCATACATTGTGCGGAAGAGATATGATTAGAGCGCTAGAAATTAATTGCGAACCGCATTACCCAAGTATCTATCGAATAGAGGAAAAATTCCGAGAAAATGCGGAATGTCGGCTCGCTAAAATCCTAGAAGAAAACAAAGCCTTGTTCAAGCCTGGTTTAGGGAAGTGCATAACAACACAGGCTACGCTCAAGTTTAAAACAGTTTTTTAGTTTTTTAGGGCACGACCTGTACCTTTAGCCCTCCGATTTAAAGTGGAAGAAAAATTAAAAGAGTTAGTAAGTAATGGCACGTTAACCCAGGTGGACCATTCGGAGTGGGCGACTCCGTTGGTGGCCGTCCCTAAGCCTGGAGGTAAAATCAGGATATGTGTAGATTACAAAATAACAATCAATCCCCAATTAGATATAAACCAGTATCCTTTGACGAAACCAGATGATTTATTTCATATGTTGAATGGGGGACAGAAGTTCTCAAAACTGGATTTGTCGGAGGCGTACATGCGACAAGGAATCCAGGTAGTATACCACAGTAAATACCCAAAAGGGACTGTTCGAGTATAACAGGATAGCCTTCGGAATAGCATCCGCGCCTGCAATTTTTCAAAAGATAATGGAGACGACACTGGCCGGAATAGAGAGGGTCGTGATTTACTTAGATGACATTACGGTGACAGGACCGGATGATACGACCCATCTTAATAGACTCGAACAAGTGCTACAAAGGTTGAAAGTAGCCGGGTTTCGCCTTAAAAGAGATAAATGTGAATTCTTAAAGACGCAGATGGAGTTTTTGGGCCATATCGTGGATGCTCACGGAATACACCCATTCCCTCGGAAAATAGAGGCAAGTGTTAAGATGCCAGCACCAAAAAATATTAAGGAACTGGAATCCTTTTTAGGTATGGTTCAATATTATAGTAAATTTGTGCCTAATTTGTCAACGTTAGCAGCTCCGCTGAATGCGTTGAGGAAGAAAGGAACAGAGTGGTGCTGGGATAGAGCGCTAAAGAGCGTTCGACAAAGTAAAGCAAAGGCTCACAGAAACTGATCTAATGGCACATTACAACCCTGATGTGCCGGTGGTGTTAGCAACAGATGCGTCCGATTATGGATTGGGAGCAGTAATATATCATAAATTTAAAGATGGGCAAGAGAAAGTCATTGCATATGCTTCTCGTTCTTTGACAAATGAAGAAAAAAAACTATGCGCAAATAGAGAAGGAAGCGCTAGGTATTGTGTATGGAGCTGAGAAGTTCAACCAATTCTTATACGGCAGAAAATTTACCCTACTGACAGACCATCAGCCCTTGGTGAGAATATTCGGGCCAAAAAATGGAATACCCACGATTGCAGCTAAAAGATTGCATCGACGGGCGTTGAGATTAATGGTTTACTCATTCGATATTCAGTATCGGAAAACGTCAGAATTTGGAAATGCGGACGGGTTATCACGACTGCCCGACCCTCGTGAGTTGCCAAGTGCAGAAACGGTGATTAGTGGTTGCAAGTAAAAGCATTAGATCGGGAAAGTTTTATCGACTTGCCTCTATCAGGAGAAATAGCGATCGCAATTGGGGAAGATCCAGGAAGCTTGCTCAGGCTCTAAAATATGTTAAGGAGGGTTGGCCACCTAAAGTAGAAGAAAGGCTCAAGGCCTTCGCAATCAAGAGTTTAGCAATATCCATTTAGAATGGATGCCTCATGTGGGAGAACAGGGTGATAATACCCAGGAAGTTTCGAAAAACGGTGTTGCGAATGTTGCATGATAGCCATTACGGCAGGAACCGTATGGTGAGTTTGGCTCGACGAAAGATTTGGTATCCTGGAATAGATAAGGAGATAGCTCAGGTAGCTCGGACATGTGAAACGTGTGCGGTATTTGGTAACGACCCACCAAAACTTATGGGAAGAACCAGATCAACCATGGCAAAGGTTGCATATTGATTTTTGCCAAACCCAAGGAGGAGAAAAATGGCTAGTAATGGTTGACGCCAAGTCTAAATGGCCAGAAGTAGTGCGCATGGGCGTGACTACGGCGGAATACACGATAGAAAAACTTAGAATGATTTTTGCGTACCATGGGCTACCAGAACAAATTGTTTCTGTTAATAGGCCACCCTTTGCATCGCTGAAGTTCAAAGAATTTTGTAAGGGAAGGAACATTGAACTAACATTAGTCTCGCCTTACCACCCAAATTCTAATGGAGAAGTGGAAAGATTTGTCCAAACTTTTAAAAAGGGATGGTATAAAGCTTGCGTGATGGTAAGAAGCCAGGAAATATATTAGCGGGATTGCTTTTAGAATATACATAGAGTTACCCCTCATCCAGCCACAGGGAAATCGCCGGCCGAAATTTTGATGGGAAGAGAGTTGAGGACCACATTGGATGTGTATAAGACAAAAGGGAAAGCATTGAGTAATCATAGCTACAGGGAGCGAATGGAGGCTGACTACGATAGAAGGGGAAGAGTAGAAAGGCATTTTGTAGTTGGACAACAGGTATATATCGTAACTATCAAAAAGGAGATAAGTGGATTACAGGAATTATTACGCACGTAGTGGGTAGGCGAATGTATGAGGTCCATTTCGGAACAGGAAGCCGGAAGGCGCACGCTGACCAATTAAAAGAGAGGATAACGCCAGAGGAGGACTACGCATTGGTGGCTGGTAGGAGAATCCCCGTCCAAGAGCAAGCCTTACCGTTAAGGCGGTCTAGCCGAACACGTAAGCCCACGGTTCGGATGAGAACTTACATGGAAGAGAGGGAGAAACCTGTTCGAAGCAGCGTAAAGGTGGTGGAAGTGGCAAGCCACGTGGATGGCAATAGAGTAAGAATGAGGAAGCGTTTAAACGCCTCTATTATGTGGACGTACGTGCCGGCTACCCCGCCCTATCCCGCATCGCCACCACCACCACCACCACTGCCGCCGAGTACGCCATCGGCGCAAATGGCACCGCAGCCGAGTCCGCCGATTGTAATTCAAATCACTAGTCCCGCGCAAGGACAGATGAGTGAATGTACTGTTCGAAAATTGGTCTGGAGTTGGCAGGTGAGAGAGAGTTTGGAACTGCCTGTTTAGGGAGTGGAAGGGGTCAGCAGAAAGAACCGCTCACGGAACCAACCCGCCATTTCGTAGCGTGGGTGTGTACCGGGGAAAGGGAACTCGCCGTCCGCGCCGGGGACGCAGGGCCGCGTTGAGAAGAGAGCTCAGCGAGGTACGTCTGATGTGTGCACAACTCATGGCGAGGCTCGACGAGACGGCTTAGCCACGCGCAAGGAGAAAGGAGCAAGATCCCCCAATGGAATAAGTGATGAATTGTGTTAAATTTTTGATTGATTTTTGATTGTGATCAGGCGGCAATAAAAGAGTTGTGAAGTATTGAATCTTTGGATGAGTGCAAAGGTTTGGTGGGGGTGTGCAATGATGGTACTTGACAAGGTAACAAGTGACTTCGTCACTTGGGAGGAGATGTAGGGGGGGGGGGGGGGGGGTGAAGCGACTGATTTAGGTGATGGACTACTGCGATCACGAAGCAGTGATGGAATGATGGATAAGGAGGAGATGAAGTAATCAATAATAACACTAATATATAAACCCCTTTGCGGTTGGCAATAAACAGTTCTACACCAGTGTCTACCTCACAAGTACAGGGATGGTAGTCAGAAGGCCGTGGGTGCGGCTTTATTCCAGACGGACCAGGACTCAGAACAAAAGCAGCTGATGGCAGTAGGGTACCGTAAAGCCCTCTCCGGATCTCAGCGGAAAAGGAGCCCCACTCATGTCGAATCACTTGCCATTATAGGTTCGCGTTTAGGTTCTTTCGCATCACGATCTACGGCAACCACACAACCATCTTCTGAACCACCTCCCGCATACCTTTTTGCTTCGGCACAACAAGACATATGACAATCTGACGCTGTGGGTAGTAGAACTATAAAGCTGCGACGTCACTATCGAGTACATAAAAGATTATTCGAACGTAATCGCTGATGCGCTTTTTCGAGCAGTGAACGCCATGAACATTCCAGGACAACACCGCAGTCTGAGGGCATCGTCGAGTTTCCGATAGCACCAACGCAGCTATGACTTCATCCTGCTCCGCGTGACCCTCTTCCTACTGTATCGGCCCTCTATTGGCCATTCGCCCCTACGACGTCCTCCAAGAGCTAGACATCGCCGTGCAATCTGCCGCGCGCATCTTCGGACGCACGTATGTTCCGTCTAATTAGGTGGAGTATTGGTGCATTCACCCAATTCGGATGGACACGGCAAACCGCGCGGTGAATTTCGGGGTGTTCAAGCGACTTTGGCACCTATCCTTGGGGCACAGGTTCGAGTAGATTGGATAAGTAATACCAGCTGATCCTACTCATCTACCCTACTTCGAATTAGTGATCCAAAGATAGGCGCCAGAGTCGGTTAAATCATTACGAATTTCGCCACGCAGTTTGCCGCACCCTTCAGAATTGGGTGAATGTTTTGCCCCCCGATTAGGTGGGGTGCGCTTCGTTGCGCGCGTCCATCGAAAGTAGGTCACCTCGCAGCCGTCGCATGCGGCAGTTCAGCCCGCGATACTTGACGGATGTCGCAGTTGTCAGTAGGACATATTATTTGTGCATGGCACACAGCAGTCAGCTCAAAGAAAAGATAACACGGACAAATGCAAATTGTTCGCTCCATTGAATGCAAATCGTTCGCTCCACTTTTGTGATACTGTAATGTCATCTCGAGACCTCAGTGGGGTGCGCCGCACGCGAAGTGGGCGGGGTGACCTACTTTCGACGGGCGCGCGCAACGGACGTTCTCCGATTAGGTGTTATTGGAGAACGTCCGTTGCGCGCGTCCGTCGAAAGTAGGTCACCCCGCCCACGTCGCGCGCGGCGCACTCCACTGAGGTCACAAGATGACATACAGTACCACCAAGTGTCGGTGGAGCGAACGATTTGCATTTGTCCGTGTTATCTTCTCCTTGGCCGACTGCCGTGGGCCAAGCGCAAATCGTATGTCCCACTGACAGCTACGACGTCTGTCAAGTGTCGCGGGCTGACTCACCGCATGCGACGACGCGGCGTGACCTAGTTTCAACGGACGCGCGCCACGAAGCGCACCCAGAGTTATTAATTTGCAAACCAGTGGCATTGCGTACTAACGGCAACTACCGTGGCTCCGCGCCTACTTTTATGGGTATGGGTACATTCACCCAGAACAGGATGGACACGGCAAACCGCGCGGCGAAATTCGAGGTGGTTAAAACGGTTTTGGCGCCTATCATTGGGGCGCGGGTTTTCAAGTAGATTGGATAAGTAGGGCCAGCTGATGCTACTTATCTATCCCACTTCGAATTTGTGCCCCAATGATAGGCGCCAGAGTCGTTTTAATCAAAACGAACTTCGCCGGACGGTTTGCCGCATCCATCCAGTTCTGGGTGAACGTTTCGTCCCCCACTTTTATTCGATATCGAATACTGATCAGGGTGATTCGCACGAGCACATGAGGTTTTGTATGGATTGTATCGCTTGCCGACATCTTTTCATCACTTTATTTTGACATTGGTTCGTTTTATATCATTCTTCATTTTGAACATTTTCCAAAAGCGCATCCATGAAGTGAGAGTATGGACGTTTAGCTTCAATTAGGATCACTTGTTTAACCAGTTGATTGCCTGCTGACCTGTCTGAAAGTCTCAGCTGAACTAATATCGACTCTAAGATCTAGAACTTTGGTTGCATCCTGTAATATTATGGAGGACAGGAAAAGAACGTTTTGCGGCCAGCCACAGTTTAGGGCATGATCTTTCGCTCGCTCAAACAAGGCTGACACTATTCAATTTACCATTTTGACCATGACTTGATCAAAAGTACAATTGGCGCTGTCAGCTCTCAAGAATATATTTGACTACAATATATACAAGTACACATACAGTAGATGACATGCATAAATACTATTTTATAAACATTTTTATAAAGTTGGTAGCTGTACAAGAAAAAATAGGCACAACATTCCTCAGTTCTGTACTCACGCACTCAAGGAGCACCCTTCGCGTTACCGTACTGCTATAATACGTAAAAAAAAAGAAGCCGAAATGTATAGTTTAGTGAGAGTTCGGACATGCAGCGCACTTTTCAGCATCACGGCTGCAGATCAAAACAACTCGGGAATTTTTGACGAAGGGCTACATGGAGCGTATAAAGGTAACCAAGAATTTTTCCGGAACAGTCCGGTCACAAGAATTGGAAAGTTAAACTGCTCAACTAAATCAAGCCCTCAACACATGCCATAATTACCCCAGCAGTCCTCGGGCTTAAATAAAAGTAAGCGTGTAGTTACGGTAACTGCCATTAGTACGCAACTGCAGACTGCTACCAGTGTGTGAATAAATGGTACCGCCTGATCAAATGGATGCAGATCAAACCTTGGACTTATTCCTAGCTATATAAGCATCAATTTCTTCTTGAGGAAGTGGTTGGTCCCGAACACAATCTCGTCTCCGCTTTTGGGCCGTTCTCAGATCGTCCGCAACAGGATCCAGCTGCTCATTGGTTTCACTCTGCTAGATTGATAGTTGAAGTTATATGCGCAAAATCTTTGCTTCAAGCATCATTCAACAAAAAGCAAACCTCGACTGGAAAATCCTCCAACTTGTGAATGACAAGCCCATATGTGATTGGAAGGTCGTTGTCTTCATTATCGGAAAGTGACGGCTGATACCTTAACTCTTTTCAGTACGGCTTCTCGATACATGGCAACGAAAGAGAGGACCCAAAAAAAAAGCAAGCATCCAAAGTTCATTAAGTGCGATTTTGTTACGAAGGAAACGAAACCCGTTCTCACGTCGTCACTTCTTCTGAATAAGAGTTCGAGTCCGATCGTGATTTTAGCAACTGATTCAGGTCCACACGACGGGAATAAGGTGAAAGAGCTGGACCTCCTCGACGTCTGTTGGAATAAAAGGATTAATTCGGTGTACATAAAGAGCACCTAGGCATGAGCACAGCGTGGAATACGTCGTTCAGCCTCGTTTTCTCTCTCTCTCACTGACGAGCAATTTCAGTGGTTTGGAAAAGGGGTCATTGGTCTCGGTGATATGCGAAGATCGGATAGTCGAAAGTCTCTATTCGCAAGATATAACTCTCCTAATTGAATCCTACTTCTCAGGCAAGACTTCCTTCGTCTCTTAAGAACTACGTAAAAGCGACACTGAGGTACAACAAAAGCCCCCTTTTTGTGCGGAAATGTGTATTCTGTATTCTACAAATGTTAGCGATCGGTAAGTGTATGTCTGATACGTACATATACCGAAGCGACCTCTGAACATAAATTCAGACGATCTTCACTGGACTAAATATTAGGTTGTAACATAAGTTCGTAGAGTTTTTCACAAAGATTTCTCTGAACAAAAAGCAATAATTGCAATAATAAATCATTAAATAAGTTATTATAATAATCAGCCAATACACGAATTGTTTGGCGACCATCTTCCTTCAATAGTGCCTTCAGACGCTCTTGGTCGAATTCTGCAGGTCGTCCGCTTCGAGGCATGTCTTCAATTTCAAAGTCGCCTATTTCAAGTTTTGCGAACCATTTTTGTGCAGTAGACACACCTATGTAAGACACCTTCCCTGTACACACTGCATATCTCCCGAGCTGTTTCGGCAAGAAAAGCAGATGTCGAAAATGCTGATTTTTTCCTCCTAGATATTCTATTTCTGAGCCAGAAAAAAGATGAACAATTAAACTTCCCAAAAAAAAACAGATGGAACAGTTTTGTAGAGGAGAAAAAGCTCTTTCGAATGAATGTATACACTTTGCTGAATAACAAAACAAAACGTTGCAAAATAACTCTAACGCAAAACTCTACGAACTTATGTTACAACCCAATACTTCCTCTCCTATCCTACTTATATGTATAATCGGCTAAGCGTGTCTGTTGGTGTGTTTGTGGCTGTGTGTATGTGAGTGTGTCTGACCGGAAATTCATAACTCCTGTCCCCGTGGACCAAATGCGTTCAAATTTGGTAGGAGTACAGGCGGCAGGATGGCAACACTTTCAGTGGGAGGCAGGACCGGACTCCGCCCAAAGGGGGCGGGGTTTGTGAGAAATAAATGTTTTACGGAAAATTCAGAATTCATGTCCCCGTTACCCTAGAGCACTCATACTCGGTAGGAGTACGGGCGGCAGGGTCAGAACATTAATGGTGGGTGGCAGGAACAGACTCCGCCCCCAATGGGCGGAGTTTGAGCGAAAAACAACTCCTGACTCCTGGAGCACTCAAACTTGGTGGGAGTTATGGGAATAGGATGGGAACACTAATGAAGGGTGACAGGACCAGTCTCCGCCCACCATGGGCGGGGTTTGTGCAAAAATTCACAACCCCTGTCCCCGTGATCGTAGAGCACTCGAACTTGGTAGAAGTTATGGGAATAGGATGGGAACACTAATTAAGGGTAACAGGGCCAGACTCCGCCCATAGGGGTCGGGAATTGCGTGAAAATTGTCAATTTGGCCCTAGAGCGTTCAAACTTGGTAGGAGTACAGGCGACAGGATGGAAACACTTAGTATAAGTGGCAGGAAAGGACCTCGCCTACAAGGGCGGGGTTTGCGCAAAAATTGACAATTTGGCCAAAGGGCTTTCAAAGTATCCCAATTGCATAAAAATTTCACGGAAGTACGCTTCCTTAGCCCATCTGTTCTTTTTTTATCTGAATAATCGCCTTTGTGATATTATACGATGTTCTTACCGGATACAGCGAAGGTGGCTTACAAAGACAATCGCTCCCAATTCGGGGCTAATACTGGGGGTGTAGTGCTTTCAAGGAAAAAGAAGAATCCGAAGAGTTATTTACGCATAGCAGATTTCTTACAGGAAGGAGCACCGCCCGGCGAAGCCGGGTGACCCCATAAGAAGGAGGGAAGCCCAGCATGAGCCGGGCGGCCCGACTGGTATCTTATGCTCAGATTCTTCACAGGTGGAAAGAATGAAACTGCTCAATAAAAAGATGTTTTAATTAGACTATATTGACTCGTTTACCACCTACATTTTATTTGAAAATAAAGGAGTAATTCTCTGAATTCTATGTGATGTCGGCCAATCATTTATTCAATTCATTTAAATGTCACACATCTTTATAACGATGTGTGACATTTAAATGAATTGAATAAATGATTGGCCCACTTAGAGATAGCCAACAGTTAAGTTTGAAACTTTGCAAGAAAATGTTTTCCAATATTAGGCCATAAGAAGCTGAGCTGAAGTAAATCCGCCTTCAAAGTCTGCAGGGAGGCGGCCGTTTGGCGCAATGGGCGGGTCGCGCCGCCCATTTGAGGCGGTTCGCGGGGTGAACAACTCGTTCAGATCGGGCAACCATCTGTCTGTTCTCTCCAGCTGATAGAAGCGCGATCAATGACGCCGCTACTCCTAGACGCCGAATTGCGGATATGCTTGTATTCTGTCAACATAAATTATCCATTTGCGCTTTTGCGTGACTTTTTATTGCTTGTTGTCCCCTTTCTCTATGGATGCTGTCGATGTATGTAGGCAGAGTACAAGCAGATCCGCAATTCGGCGTCTAATAGAAACGACGCCATTGATCGCGCTCCTTACAGCTGGAGAGGACAGACAGAGGGTTGCCCGATGTGAACGAGTTGTTCACCCCGCGAAGCGCCTCAAGTGGGCGGCGCGGCCCCGCCCATTGCGCCAAACGACCGCACCCTGCAGAATTTGAAGGCGGATTTACTTCAGCTCCGCTTCTTATGGCCTAGTATTGGAAATATAAGAAGTTTTTGGCGTATTCCGTACGTGTCGTGTGTCATGTGCACATTCCACACGATTGCGTACGCCGCATTGCCCTATCACCACCCTCCTGGGCCTCACCCGGAATCCTTTTGGTCGTGAAGTATATCTGATGGGTGGTAGGCGTCATAAGCTTTGCTGTTCTCGAAGTGACGGCAGTAAGGAGTTAGGGATTACTTCTCGAACGGTGCGTCGCGTTCGCCGCATCCACCGCGTATGGCTGCTTTCAGACCTCAACGATTCATCCGACCGTCCGTTCAACGCGTGCTGTAACGGCGGCGCCTGACCGTTGTTGACAACACTAGATCACGTGGCAGTGCTGCCAACACTACTCTCGCGCCGCCGTTGCGCACGCGCTGAACGGACGGTCGGACGGTCATTGACACACACATAAACACACAGACACACACATAAACATACACACAAACAAGGCTGAAAGCGGCCTATGGCAGAAATGCGATGGTTGATTGAACCGCGCAATTTGTCAGTAAGATTTGCGATCGATGATTAGATGACAACGGTTTGTTTTCTTAGGAAATGTTTTCCTAATGAAGCTTCTATTCACGGTAACTGTGATTTGAAGCAGCGAGAAAACTAAAGGTGCATGTGGTTCAATGAACGTGAGTATTCGTTGAGAAGTTTCGCCACCCAGCAGTCAGTTCCGCGCATGCGAGACGCGCGCGAGAGAGTCGCCGCTATTTTCAAATCCGATTCTCCTCTATTTCTTGATGAAATTCGCTCCAGCAGCATAGGGAGAGAAAATACTAGATAGGCGTCTCGACTAAAATGAAAATTCAGTCCGGCACTCGGCTCTTACAGTAACCTCCTGGCTTACCCCACCCCCACCCCCGTGTCTTTGCCCAAAGCCCCTTTTCGACGCGTCGTATATGTGACGGGTAAAAATATGCGCATCAACACGTGTCGGATTACTGTAAGAACCGAGCGCCGGACTGAATTTTCGTTCCTGTGGCGTCTCGTGGTGTAACGGACCAGCAGTTTCCTTCACCGCTCTGAGTTCACCTATTTAGATCCTCGTTGTGAACATCTTTGCATTACTTCGCGTACACGTATATTTTGAACAACTTACAAGCTCTTGTAAAAGCCTCTAATCGAGTTGACGGCAAATAGTATGACTTTTAACAGAGAGCAGAGAGATCAAAGAAACACATAGGGTACAAAAAAAAACGAGTTTCGAGGTGAAAAGCAGCAGTGAATGCAACAGGATGTGAATCGAAGTATTTCGTTGTATACAAAGAGTACCACAACAAATTTCGAAATTCACGCGGGCAGAAAAAAATGGAGCTTTAGAATTCGTTGAAATAGTCACATTCAACCAATTCAATATTTTCATGGTGCACCGTATATTTCCCATTTCAGTGCAGTGCACCCTTGCAATTTCTTATACAACGTTGATGTTGGCTTGATCTTTTAGCCTTTCGTATCATAAAATAAAAAATCATGGACGGAACAAAGTGGCGGATACTACTCTGCTGGTCACGACAGACTACTGACGATTGGCTTCAATGAAGGAGCGTGCTGCAAGGAAAAAGGCAAGTAATACCAGTAATATAACCCGGACGTCATAAGCAAGACTGAGATGATGTCTGTTATCCTTGTTAGCTATACGAAAATGGAGGAAATCGAAAGATACCCTGCTGGCTAAAATTCTTTGTTACTCCCGCCAGCACGTCGTTAAGCAGGTTTGAGTTCATTTCCCAAAGACTGGTTTGTCGGAGCAGATCACATAGCAAATTGCTGAACTGACCTACTTATCTTTTCTTGTTCGTAACCTTGTAGGTGCGCCTAACTGAATGGTTTAACAGCAGGCAGGAGAAAAGCATCTTTATAATCTGGTGGTAGGCGCAAATTTCTATTGTTCACAAACAAAGCGACCCACTCGGAAGGCAAAGGCTCACACACTTCACGGTGCTTGTAATTGCTTAAGTGGTTAAGTAGTCAGCCAAGCACATAGATGAATTCAAAGGTACACTTCACGTTAAAATGATTTCTGAGATCAATCTCTTACGTGTACCTCTGACCCCCAGGATCCCTAGGGAGTTCAAGCTCGGTGGGAGTACTGACGGCAGGATCGGAAAACTTATGGTAGGTGGCACGACCAGATCTGCCTAAATTGGACAGGGTT